GCCTCTAGTTAAAGAGAGATTAGATAATAGAACACTCTATTTAAAGGAAGAGTGGAACTGCCTCTTTTATTCAATGAACTTTATTGTTCTGTATCTGAACACCTGTGCACTGGCTAAAATTTACAGTAGCCCACCAGTAGGCTATTTCAGACCCTCCAGGTTTCCATATTTTCCAGGGACATTCCTGGCTTTACAGAAGCCATCTTGGTTTCTGATTTGATCCTATATTGTCCCACTTCTCCCTTAGGAGGTCCCTGCTTGCATCAGAGAAATGTTGAAGGGTATTGAGTTATCTGACCTCTGGGTCATCTGAAGGCAGCTCTGTATAAGGAAGGTTTTCTTTTGATGTTTAATGTTTTTTTATGATTTTATATATGTTGGAAGCAATCAAGAGTGACTGGGGCAACTAAGTCAGATGGGTGAGGTATAAATAGTAAAATTATTGTTGTTATTGAATAGGATATCCTTATTTTCATTGGAGAAATGTTGGAGGGTATGTTATTTCAGTTTAAAATATTAGGATTTTGTGAACACTAGGATTTTGTGGGTGGCTATCTATGATTGCAACTGGAAAGGTGGGAGACGCTGAAGTAGTGGTGCTGTGCCAAAATAATGGAGGTGGAAAGGCAAACCAGATACAGCCATACCTCGAGTTGAATGAGCTTCAGCTTGAAGGCTTTTGGGTTGCGCTCCGTGGCAACCCGGAAGTAACAGAGCATGTTACTTCTGGGTTTTGCCGCTCGCGCATGCGCAAATGCTCAAAATGACGTCACGCGCATGCACAGAAGTGGCAAAACTTGACACAGACGCACAGTCACATCTTATGTTCCATTCAAGATGTGAACAGGGCTCTGGAACGGATCCCGTTCGTATCCCGAGGTACCACTGTATGCTGCTCTTTTTGGCAATAGCTGTGCCTTTATTGAAATATTGAGTTTGGCCCAGGGTGTTACCATATTCAGGGCAGTGGTGCCAACTCACCCTCAGGATTGTGGGTGCCCACCGCCACAATGCGACGTCACACGCCTGCACGTAGTGTGTGTGATGCCACAAGCACTACTTGTAGGTGTGTGTCTGTATGATGTCACACAACCACATTGCGGTGGCTGGTGGCAGGGGCTCCTCTTCCTCCTCCACTCAAGGCACCCCTTTCTGTGGGGAGGGACTCAGAGGCAGAGAGACTCTGCCTCTGTGTCCAAGACCCTCCCCCCCCATTTTTTGGCCTCATTTGCTGGCTGCGGTGGGCAGAGCTGATCTGCTTTTCTCTTTGAGGCAGAAACCGCTGCTCCTGCCAGTTTTTCTCATTGACTTTGTGGGTGCCCGGTCCCCACAATTATATTATTGTGGGTGCCCAAGTACCCACAGCCCCCTGGAGTTGGCTCCTATGGCTCAGGGTACAGAATACCTGTTATGTACTGAGCTTGGATCCCAGAACAATAGGCAGGTGGGATCCTAGAAGGCAGCAACCTGATTGGTCTGCAGGAGCCGCCCAATCAAGCTCCAGGAGGAAGTGAATCAGCAACCTGATTGGCCTGCAGGAACAGTCCAATCAGGCTCCAGGAGGGGAATTGAATCAGCCAATCACACGGGACCCATTGTGTAAATAATGTATATATAGCCAGAGGTTTTTGGGGAAAGCACTCACTCACTGTTTACCATGAGCTGAAAGAAAGAGCATGAAATCAACACTCAACTCCGAGTATATTTCAATACCCATGCGCTGAGAATATAACACCCCTCCCCCCGGCTTCTCAGCAGATTTTATTTTGTGTGTGGATGTAATGGTACTGTAAGTCTTCTGGGCACTGCAACCACTTTATAAGCTGCATCGATAATGTACACAAATTATCATTCCCATGAATGGCTTCTTTTCACTTCAATTGCTTTTTTAAAGGGGGGGGATGCAATTTCTGTGCAGTACTGTTGATTATACCACTCATGCTTATTATTAAATCCTGTCATTGCTGAATTATTGAATAAAAACCCATGTTTAATATTTTAAGAATTGCCTTGCGCTACAAGATATCCCTACCAGACTCCCTGCAGCAAAAGGCTGAGTAATTGACACATGTTGACTCTGGGACTGGAGGCATGACTTGAATGGTAAATATTTGAAGATTGGGAGCTCTCCCTCCCTGCTGCCAATTCTCTGTAGACAGCATATTCAGCAAACAGCTTAATTTGAAAACTAGAATGACAGCTTTCTCATGGTCTCGGTGCTTAATTCTCCCTTTCAGTTTTAGCATTTCCCTTTATTTTCCAACAGCGCAGCATAACTATATCATCAGGCCTCTGATCAACAATAGACCATCCACTTGATTCAGTTACATCGAATGAATGGCAAGTCATTTCCTGCCATTCTTGCAACATACATTTCTTTAATACTCCTAGTTACTGACGAGTTCCTTTTTAAAACACACTCACTCACACACAAATGAGAAAAGGGATGAGATGAGAACTAGTTGCTTTCAAGGACATATCAGCTGCTGGAATATTTTCTGTTTAAAAAGAAAGAGAAAGAGATGACCATATTTGGTTATGCATATGGAAAGAAGGGATGAGAATCCCTCAGTGTTTTAAGGTGGGAGAACCTATCAATTTCTGTTTCTTCTTTTTCTGACCTTAAATGGTCTGCCCAATTTCTGCATCAGTTTGTACATTTTGTAAAATTCTGCACAAAAATTCATATGTGTTTCCATTGCTTTTGTGTGTCTGCAGTTTTGCATAATAGACACATTTTTGAATGCAGTTGCTGCAATATGATGTATGTAGATATTATTTTAACCAAGATGTGCATTTTTGTGCTTACTTTGTTCTAATATATGCTTTGTTTGGTTGGAATATTGCATCATAGGATTCAGGGGAGTGTGAATTTTGAAGAATAATTGCGGTTGGTATGTGCATTGGTTTGGGAAGTGTGAATTAGGGTATGTTTGAATTAAATTATGACACCCCCCCCAAAAAAATCTGTTGGATCCAGTAATTGTTATCTTGAGATGCTGTATTTTAATTAAATGTTTAAGGGTCACAAATATATTGAAAATTAAAGCACAAAGATTTAAGCTTGCTGGGAATACAAATATAGCTGATACGACAACTCACGTGAGAGCAGTCAACTCTGCCAAAGTTATCCTTATATTGCTCTGGAAATGTCTTCTGAGGGAAAATAAAACAAAATTTTTTTTTGTGCAATATAAGCCAATGAGTCTCAATCCTGCCCCCAGATTTATTTAAATTTCCAAAAGTGCAATCTGTACATGTCTACTCAGAAGAAAATGTTGCTGTGTTCAATAGGACTTACCCCAACTCCCTAGGAGTGCAGCCAAAATGTGGCTCCTCCCTTTACCCATTCCTTACGTAGCTAGTCAATCAAATCCACTCCACTTCCCAGTGGGGAGAAGTTGCGGTGGACCACGTGGCAATCCACGCCCTCTGGGATGGGGGATGAAGTCCCGCATCACCCGGAGGTTCCCGGCCATGTCATTCACCAGCCAGCCTACACACTGGCTGGGGTGCGCGTTGAAGGGCCTGGTAGGAATTTTTCTACTTGGCAAATTGGCATGGGCCATTTGGTTTTCGCCTACCCCATAGAAATCGTCACAACTTTGGCGGTTAGGCATTGGTTGATCTTATGATGGGGGAGGGGAGGTGTGGCCATCACCTGCCCCTCCAAGCTTAAGGGTATTCCGTTAAAGGAATTCAGGGGTGTGGATCTTGTCCGAAGCCCAGGGCGGGGCTAGGGCCATGCCACAATCCCGTTGGGAACCCAGGGGGAGCTCGAGTTGGTTTGCATCGATGGGGCTCCCAAAACCGGTGGTTGACCCTTACTGGACTCCCTGCGTGACAGGCAGGAGTCAGATATAGTCGGGTCAATTCCAATGCCTAAGCCAATGCCGCTCACATTCTGTAACCAATAAAGTTGCTGCCTAAATTTGCCCAATAACATTAACCTAATATCCGCGTCCTTGTGTCTTATTCATTGACGAGGAGGTGGTCTTAGGCTCTCAACACGCAATCAATCAATCTCCTTTATTGGCATAGAAATGTAGCTAGTCAAAGAACTTAGAGTAGGAAAATGACTCTGCATTTGTCCCATGCGGGCGAATTTAATTCCTGTGTGACTGAAATCCTATTATTCACTGAGACTTAGTTCATTCATTCATTGGGACGTATGCTAATGTCCAGGCTGTGTATAAAACCCAAAACTATTTTACTCCGGCCGTATATATGGTAGTAAGATATCATGGATTCCATATCTAAGTGACACTCTAGCGCGATAAACCAGGGAGGCCAAAAAGTCAAACTCATGAGTGACACAGTGCTTATGAAGGGATGGGGCTATTTCTGTAATTTTTGGCTCAGTTCCCCATTGTTCCCATTAAGCCAGATGTGGGGAAACTTTGGCCCTCCAGATGTTTCTGAATTGCAACTCCCATCATCTCTGGCCATTGGTCATCCTTGCTGGGGCTGACTGGAGTCGTAATAGATGGAGGGCCAAAGGTTACCCATACTTGCATTAAGTTCAGTGGAACATAGAATTATAGCATTGTAGAGTTGGAAGGGACCCCAAGTGTCATCCAATCCAACCCCCTGCAATGCAGGGAAGTGAGCTAAAACATCCATGACAGATGGTCAGCCAACCTCTGCTTAAATCTGACTGAGACACAGATGAGTGAGGACAGGATCGTTTCCTCAATCAGACGCAAGGGGAAAATCAATACTTTCAATAGGCTCCTACCTCATTTATAGACCGAAGAGCATCTCTTACTTTATATGGGAAGTTGTCCCCCCAAAGTAGTGATTTTTTTCCTTCCAGAAGAGTGAACACTAGCCATTCAGTTGTGGATTTCCAAGACAGCTGCTTACAGACACAGGGTCATCATGGTTGTAGCTTTTGTATTGTTGTGCTCATCACACGTCTTTGGACATTGAGGAATTCTAGGGGTACAGTGATTACCTAGATTTGGTTCCCTTTTGAAGAAGGTCACTAGAGGTTTATTGGTGCTTGGAAATACTGCATTTATTTACAAATACACAAGTTGAGTGTAGGTGGACATGTAGCTTAAACACTCCAACAGACAGCCAAAGTCTACTGTTCTCACATCAGATTTCCAGCAATACAGCCTGCATCTTAAGATGCTTGCAAAGCCTGAACTCACTCTCTTCCTCCGAATCAAGCTGCAGCTGTCACACAAACATCTGGATTACCTCAACCTTAGCTGGAAAGAAAGTCTTCCCTTTTCTCTGTTTTTCACATTTTCAGAACCATCCCCAAATGATCCTGTATCGAGAAGCAATTGTGTAAATATTTAGTCCCATGGCAACATTTCACTTATGCTGAAACATCCTCTTCTCTGCATTAAAAAAATAAGGTTGAGCATGAATATTTTTACATCTAGCACATCTCAAAAATATTTGGTGCCTCTCCAAATAAATGAGGGCCATCTGGCACCTCTCAGGCAGGTCTGTTTTGCCCCTACAAAAATGTGTTTCTGTTGTAAGAGATAGAGATTTCCTTACTTTAATTTGACATCCCTTGTTGCATGTGAGATGCAAATATATATATTTGTATCTAAACCATTATGCTGTGTGCATGCGATCTAAAATCATGAGGCCCTTATTATGAAATTGTGCTCCCTGTATTAGTAGCATCTGACTGCAGAGTGAACCCAAGACAGTTACAAAGCTGCTCCCCATTCATGCATTGGTTGAAGCTAAGCACTGAAAACTTCACAATGTGATCATCAGCAGGTTAACTTGGACACCATTCCACGGGAATGGTGAAGTCCCACTCATGTAAGCCATTTGAGGCGATGTCCCTCTGCTCCCACCAAGATGTTCTCAAACGGATGGAAGTCCAAGGGAGAATATTTATTTAAAGCCAGATGGCAAAATCTGGCTGGGCATCTTTGAACTCATTGAAGGTAAAAGATCGCGATCGCCTTCTAAGAGCAGAACAGCCATGAGGTCTGCCGTGGAGTAGGTCTAAGTAAAGGTTGGACCTCAGGAAGCGTGGGTAACAGTCTTGCTCCATCAGGGCATAGATTTTGGTCTGTGCAGCATCGAATGTGTTGCGTGTTGGGTGACTCATGCTCTGACTGGTGCATGTTTTGGTGTTAAAGTCAAGGTTGACCTAGAAAAAAAGAAAAAAAGAAAGGGGGGAAAACGCATCACATGGCAAAGCAAATATTATTGATGTGTTTCTCAAGCTTCTCTCTTAATGAGTACAGTGGTACCTCAGGTTACATACGCTTCAGGTTACATACGCTTCAGGTTACAGACTCCGCTAACCCAGAAATAGTGCTGCAGGTTAAGAACTTTGCTTCAGGATGAGAATAGAAATTGTGCTCCGGCGTCGTAGCAGCAGCAGGGGGCCCCATTAGCTAAAGTGGTGCTTCAGGTTAAGAACAGTTTCAGGTTAAGTACGGACCTCCAGAACGAATTAAGTACTTAACCCGAGGTACCACTGTACATGGCTTACCCTACAAGTTCACATTCAAGTCCTGTGCATACAGGAACCATGTACAAACTGACGTGATTTTCCACACATGACCAAGGAACAGATGTTGTTGAACTTCAACTCCCATAATCTGTGACCGTTGGTCTTGCTGGCTGGGGCTGATGGGAATTTAACAACATTTGAAGGGCCACAGGTTCTCTATCCCTGCAACAGATGCTTGACTACACATAGGCTTGTGAAATTGTTTCTTTTGGATCAAGAATACACAAGTTCTAGACCTTTTTAGACCATGAAGTTCATTAGGCGACTAAGAGAAAAATCTGGTACTCTGCTTCAAGACCTTAAGATTGTATGGAAGTGGGGAGGGAAGAAAAAATATTGTTAACAAGTGAGTCACATGGTTTTGTGGCATTTTATCCGTAATGTAGGGGGATTCACCATATCTGCACTGTTGCATAAAGTTATTTATCCACTGTAGCTTTTAAAGTGTGCTGAGAAGATAAATTCTAATACTTGCAATTTTGTTTTAAATGGCAAAGTGTCTTTGCACTACAGAGGAAGTCAGCTATCTGATTTGGGGGAAGTTGTGTGTGGTTACTGCTGGGGGGAAAACCTCAGTTTCTGCTGAGTTTCAGCCTTAACAGTAAGCTTCTACACCACAGTTTAATTTTTAAAGCACTCTTATACAATTTAACGGGACACGGGTGGCGCTGTGGGTTAAACCACAGAGCATAGGACTTGCCGATCAGAAGGTTGGCGGTTCGAATCCCTACGACGGGGTGAGCTCCCGCTGCTCGGTCCCAGCTCCTGCCAACCTAGCAGTTTGAAAGTATGTCAAAGTGCAAGTAGATAAATAGGTACCGCTCCAGCGGGAAAGTAAATGGCATTTCTGTGCGCTGCTCTGGTTCTCCATAAGTGGCTTAGACATGCTGGCCACATGACCCGGAAGCTGTACGCCGGCTCCCTCGGCCAATAAAGCGAGATGAGCGCCACAACCCCAGAGTCGGTCAGGACTGGACCTAATGGTCAGGGGTCCCCTTACCTTTTATACAATTTAACAGTCATGCCCCCACTGCCAAAGAGTTTTGGGAACTGTAGTTTGGCAGGGGTGCTGAAATTACCTGGAGACACCTCACAGAGCTACAGTGCTTAGTACCCTTCACAAACAATTCACAGGATTCTTTGTGGGTGATGATGTGATCTAAAAACCAGTTAGATCTCATTGCCACAGCATGGTAAAAGCACATCTTAAGGAGTTTGTGAAATTCTAAAGGCAGTCATAAGTTTATGTTTTATTAATGAAAATAATAAAAATTATATTGAAAAAAGCAAATAAATAAATAAAAATAAAAATAAAGGCAGTCACACAATCCCTATCAACATGCAGGACTCGAGCAGTCACAGGCTGTTCGAGTCCCACTAAGGTCAGTCATCACATTGTTGCAAGGAGAGCACACAAACCACAGACAGATGTTTATCAAATCTTCAAAGAAACATGATTTATACTTCTGTAGAGAAGCTCTGCTGGATCCAATGAAAGGCCCATCTAGTCCAGCTTCCTGCTTTCCCCTGTGGCCCAAAGGATACCTCCTAGAAACCCACAAGCAGCACATGTGCGTTGTAGCCTTCCTCCATTGTTGTTACCCCAGCAGCTGCTATTCAGGTCAGGAGCATCCCACAACCTGAGATTTCAGAGCTCAAACCTGAGACCGAGGGGTGGCCCCCTGGTGATGTCACTGTGGGCAGACCCTGGCGATGTCATGGTGTGATTCTTCCTCTGTGCTCCCTCCTGCCACTGAACCCTGGAGACGGAGGTTAATTGGGAAAGGGGAAGAGGGAAGATACCCCCCCAACACCTATGCAATAGTTATACTACCTTCGGAACTGGATGTGGCATATATGACTAGTCGCCACTGATATCTTTTTCCTCCATGAATTTGGGCTATGTAGTTAGGGGAAGGGACACTGGCTCCCATGAGCTGCACGAGGCTACAAATTTGAGGTGCACTTAAAAGGAAGCACAGTCTGTCTCAAACCGAGATGCACAGGGGCAGGTGCACTGCTGGGAAGTTTCTGCCTCTGTGCATGGGTCTGGGAATGTTCTGATCAGTTCCCATTGAGTTCATGAAACAGTGTACCTTGACCTGTTCTTAATGCATTGTTGACCACATCTACGGACTGTGATTGTTATGTTCTTTCAAGTCATGCAATATCAATCACTAGTAACCATGTGTTCACTTTCCCAACCTTCATGATTAATGCCCTTGCATTGTATTCATGTTAACCAATCAGCAACAAGCACATATGTGGAAATGCTGTAATATTCAATAAAAGGGACTCCCGAGCATGTGCTCGGGAGATGCCTCCCGTATGACACCTTGCCATTCGTCTGTCGCTTATTTCAACCCAACAGTGCACTATTTTTATTTTCTCCCACAGAAACTGAATGCCTAGCATTGACTCCTACCAGGAAAAAGTATTTGCTCCTGGTACCAGTATGCTCTTTCCCAGCCAAAGAGCCTGAAGCGGATTTCAGGCATGTGGGGATAATGCTGCACTGGGTTTGGGATGGTATCTTAATAGTGTACCCAACAGGCTGTCCTGTTAGCAACACAGATCACATGAGTTGGGGGAGCATCGCAATATGTCTCAGTGCAATATATTTGTCCAAGTTTTATTGGACTTCTAACAAGTCAAGGGCTTGAATAGGAAAAAATGTGTAAATTATTTCATTCTACCAGGGTCATCTTAAGCATATCCGGCGCCTTGGTGCAAAGTTCCCTCCGGTGCCCCCCAGACAAAACTCCAAAACAAGGGAGGGGGCGGTGGAAAATGTCCTCTGCCTCCCCCATGGCCCCGATCCCTGGTGTGGTGGCAGTGATCAAGCAGGAAAACGTGCTGGCGGACATGCTCTCTTTCAAGACTGGTGTTATGTGGTCTTAGCGGCCGCCCCTGTCACCAGTCTGCCACATTCTGGATTAGTTGTAGTTTCTGGGTCACCTTCAAAGGTAGCCCCACGTAGAGTGCATTGCAGTAGTCCAAGCGGGAGATAACTAGAGCATGCACCACTCTGGCAAGACAGTCTGCAGGCAGGTAGGGTCTCAGCCTGCATACCAGGTGGAGCTGGTAGACAGCTGCCCTGGACATGGATTTGACCTGTGCCTCCATGGACAGCTGTGAGTTCAAAATGACTCCCAGGCTGCATACCTGGTCCTTCAGGGGCACAGTTACCCCATTCAGGATCAGAGAGTCCTCCACACCAGCCCGCCCCTCTCCCCCAAGAACAGTATTTCTTTCTTGTCAGGATTCAACCTCAAACCAGGGCTGTCTTTTGCAGATGCAGAGGTTTGGGAGGGAAGCTGTACGCCCGCTAGCCATATAGTTGGTGGGGCACAGCTGGCGGGCATGCAGGGAAAGTGGAGGCTGCCGGCAAAGCCGCACACCTCCCCCACTCGCTAGGATGCCCCTGAGAGACAGGCGCCCTGGCGCAAAGCACCACTAAGACCAATGGGAAAGACGGTTCTTCATTCTACTGTGGACTGTCAAAAGCGTATTGGAAACAAGATGTCGTACATTACTTCTGGAAGATGACCAGGCTTGGGTTTCAGTGAGCCTTCATGAGAAGAAGATGTCAATAGGGTTGAAGATCTCTTTTCCACAATCCAGTTGGGCCAAGAGACTTCCTGCTTTATTGTACCAGTCATGGTAGTAAATATGGATGGAGGTTATCTCCTATAATAAGATATGCTAATATGCAGGTCTTCCCTACTTGACATCATGGGCACTTGGCTAGTAAGATACAATTAAGAACCTGGACTGAAACATCAACTGTGTGTATATTTGTTTACATGTGATATGTCACTAATACACCATCATTAGTACCGCCTTTTGGAATAAATCTGTAATCAATCTTTTTAGACGATGATTATTACTTCAATGCTGTGTTTAAGCTGGTGATTTGTTTTATTCATTTGGCTTATTATATGAAATCTTGGCAATGTAATAGGAATGGTTTGTATGTAACACTAATTACATCTATAATTATGGGTTTAGCAGACAGATGAAAAGTAATTCTAATGTATTAGCATCAAATATAGGCAGATACATATGGGCACATAAACTAATATTTGTACTTCAAATTGATGTTGTTGTGGTAGCATGTGCTATAATTTTCCCGACATGTTTTCAAACTGTGGCCTCAATGCAGACAAGGTTAAGCACCATGCAGCAAATGCATTTTTACTCAGAAATAGGTTCTACTGTGTTCAATGGGGCTGACATCCTAGCAAGTTGGTTTGGGGTTTCATCTAGGTCAGTCTATTTGTCCATCTTGCCTGCTATTGTTTCTCTTCCAGGCAGAGGTTTTTCCTATCACCTGTTGCCTGAATATTTTTAAACTTATGCAAGACAGATTGCGCCAAAAGGATCGTTTTCACTATACCTCTTCGGAGCTTCTTTTTCTATGAAGGTCTCATAAATGGTCTTTGCTTTGAGTGAAAGTTGGGAAGCTTCTGTGTTCTTCTTGTAATCTTCACATGCCATCCAAAATTCAATGTTCTCTTCACTAAACTCACTTTTCAGGAACCTTGTGAATGCATCTAATCCACCTATGAAAGAAAAGAGATTCAAAGCAAGGCATATTAAGTAATAAAACATAATTACATTTCTTCAATCACAGTTGAAACAGAAACACCTTTTTCAGTATTATTATTATTATTATTATTATTATTATTTATTACTTATACCTCACCCATCTGGCCAGGCCTCCTCAGCCACTCTGGGCAGCTTCCAACAGAATATTAAAAACACAATAAAACATCAATCATTAAAAACTTCTCTAAACAGGGCTGCCTTCAGATGTCTTCTAAAGGTCAGATAGTTGTTTATTTCCTCGACATCTGGTAGGAGGCCGTTCCACATAGCAAGAGAGGTCATAGGCCAGGCTAGTTATCTCCCTGATAACTAGGTTTTCTATAATTTTTGTTTTCTTTTGAAAAATGCCCAGTTACAAAATCAATTGTCTGTTGTGATTTAGCTCAGACACATATTCAGAACCTCAGTGAAAACATGCCTAATCGATAGAGATGATAAGACCTAAATGGGGGTATGGGAATAAACGTTTAGAAAATAGAAGGCCCCATATCCCATTTCTATGCTCAATGTGACAAAAATGTTATAGGGTGTGTGTGGAAAACACCTCCCCTTTCTTTCCCCGTCTTGCCAAATGATCAGTGAAATTATATTGCTTCTATTATAGGGATATTGACACGTGAGGTTTTCTTATTTCTGCATGACCATATCTGCACCATACATATAAGTACTATAATACCACTTTAACAGTCATGGGTTCCGCCAAAGACCGCTGGGAACTGTAGTTTGTTAAGGATGCTTAGAGTGGTAAGGAGATTGCTATTCCCCTTACAAAGCTAGAATTCTCTCTCTCTCTTTTTTTTAATGATATTTATTCCAAGTTTAAGATTACAAAAAGAGTAAAAAAAGTACAAAATATAAAAAGAAATACAAAAAAAAAAAATTTCCACAACAGAGCAAAGTAAAAAGAAAAAAGAGAACAATATACAAGACAAAAAATATAAGAATACATTAAATTAAATTAAAACAAAAACAAATTAAACCTTTACATAACTTTTCCCTTTACTTGTTTCCTTGACCTCCTCTCACCTCCCAATTTTGTATTCTAGTTCAGATCATTTTTCCAGCAAGTCCTTCCAACCTTATTTTCATTTACGTATTTTAATTTAAAATATTATAATTAAACATCCTCTGTTTCATCAATTTCATCAACTCATTTTTGCTTAATCCTTAATGTCATATCTACCAAAACTACCTAAATTTTCTTTTTCCGACATCTTTCTAACAGTCTTTAATATTACAATATTTTTGAAGATATATTTTAAATTTTTTCCAGTCTTCTTCCACCGACCCCTCTCCCTGGTCTCGGATTCTGCCAGTCATCTCAGCCAACTCCATATAGTCCATCACTTTCATCTGCCATTCTTCTCGGGTGGGTAATTCTTGTGTCTTCCAGTACTTTCCAAAGCTAGAATTCTCATAATTGTTTGACAATCAAACCCTATTCCCTGGAAACTCAGGGACGGGAATAGGTGTTTCCGAACAACTCTCAGCACCCTTAACCAATGGCAGTTCCTGGGATTCTTAGTCGGAAGCCATGACTGTTAAAGTGATAGCATTGTGCTTTAAATGTGTGGTGTAGAAGTGAACAATGTTGAAATTTACATGCTGACTCTTGTCCAACTTTGTAGAGTGGTACCTTGGTTCTCAAACGCCTTAGTACTCAAACAACTTGGAACTCAAACACTGCAAACCCGAAAGTAAGTGTTCCGGTTTGTGAACTGTTTTTGGAAGCCGAACGTGCTCTGTTTTGAGTATTATGCTTCCAATTTGAGTGCCACACTTCCGTTCTGAGTGTTACGCTGAGGTCTATCTGTTTTTGCTATTTATTTTGTGTTTTTGTTTCTGTGGCTCTTTTTTTGTGACTGTGTGGAACCCAGTTCAGCTACTGATTGATTGATTGATTGATTGATTGATTGTGTGACTGCAGTACATTGTTTATTGCTTGCATTTTATGGATCAATGGTATCGTTAGATAGTAAAATTCATGTTAAATTGCTGCTTTAGGGGTTGTTTTTAAAAGTCTGGAACGGATTAATCCATTTTGCATTACCTTCTATGGGAAAGCGCACCTTGTTTTTGGAACGCTTTGGTTTTGGAACGGACTTCCGGAACAGATTAAGTTTGAAAACCAAGGTACCGCTGTCCATGCACAGCAATAGGTATCAGTTGTCTGATCAATCAAATTCAGCATTAGTTGATAAACAGATTGTGTTAAGCTGATTTGCACCCCTACTTTTAAATGTTACGTTTTACGAGGTTCCTAAGACCAGCAAAAAGGTTTTAGGGCAGCATGAGTGGACCCATTGAAAACAATGAATTTAAGTTGGTCATGCCCATGGATTTAAATGGTTTACTCTGAGTATGGGGGGGGGACCCATGTGCAAATGCAAAACCACCATAGATCACAATGTACTTGGCTTTTAACCTTACAATGAGCAAGCCTTTTCCTTACTGTAATTCCTAATGGTGTATGACATTTGAAGAGTCTTTTTTGATATGAAAGATCTCTACTTCCAACAAATAACGATTTACAATTCTCTGTAAATATATAATGTACAAGTAACTTAACCCTCAACTGTCTACGAGGATTCCTCACATCACCTTTGAGCAATATGGCCCGCTGAATAATTGTCTCCTCTGGAGAAGCTCAGCCACTTCTAAGTTTCCTCAGGTCTGTTTTCTGATCAAAATTCAAGGCCACGCTCCACAGGAATCCATTTGTTGTTGGAAGTCGGACTTAATAGACTTCCTCTGTTTACACATGGCTAGTCCTCCACCACAGAAGAATAATCACAAATGAGACATTTCAGCATGAAATATAGTTTTGAGCCTACTTTCAAAATGAAAGAAAGTGTGTGTGTGTGGGGGGGGACCTTTTATGCAGCATAATTCCAGCTGAAAACCCTAACACAAACCTTTCTGAGAAATCAGTTCGTCAAAAGATTCGCCCCACTTCTTCACAGTTTCAGGGGTTTCACTGCGAGAGACCAAAAAAAGAGAGTGGGGTAAGGAAAAATAGTTATTCATTTTGAGTAATTTGGAGGATTTCCTCTACAACACATTATCTCCTATTGCTGTCAGTTTGCCATATTTTACACAGCGTTGAATCAGATTACTTTGCAAAGGGGAGCTCTTTCCCTCAAGCCTTCAAAAACTGTTTCTCTAATTTTGCTGACATTTCTCCCACTATTGAATTGTGCAGATCCCACCCCCCCCCATCTTCAAAGTGTTGAGGGGAATAAAAGTACCGTACTTTTCCGTGTATAAGCCTAGGCTTTCCCCCTTAAAAATCATGCTAAAAAGTGGAGGTCGTCCTATACCTGGGTAGTGAATAGGGCAGATGTTTGATTGGCTGCTGCTGCGGCAATTGGGCGGGTGATTGGCAGCTTCTGCCAGTGAGGGGACAGTTGAGAGGCGGATTTTGCGATGCATGCGGGTGAGCGATATTCAACATTGCCCCCTAAAAAAAAGCTCAACAACCTTTTGCCATCTCCGATACGATAATCTTTATTGTCATTGTCCCATACAGAACAACGAAATTGAAAAAAATCTACACCAGACATTCAAAAACCAACAAGCCTGCTATCCCAGCTATCCCAGCCTGGTTAGTCCCCTAAAACTCTGATACCCTATAATTAAATACAATATAAATAATTTGTCCTAACAAAGACTCCTCTCCAGGAGCTCTCAGCCGCAGCGTCTGCAAGCGCCGCCATCTTTAGAATTTTTCTCCCCCCATTTTCTGACATTTCAGTCCCACCAAAATAGTAAAGGTAAAGGGACCCCTGACCATTGGGTCCAGTCGTGACCGACTCTGGGGTTGTGGTGCTCATCTCGCTTTATTGGCCGAGGAGCCGGCGTACAGCTTCCGGGTCATGTGGTTAGCATGATTAAGCTGCTTCTGGTGAACCAGAGCAGCGCACGGAAACGCCGTTTACCTTTCCGCTAGAGCGGTACCTATTTATCTACTCGCACTTTGATGTCCTTTCGAACTGCTAGGTTAGCAGGAGCAGGGACCAAGCAATGGGAGCTCACCCCGTCGTGGGGATTCAAACCGCCGACCTTCTGATTGGCAAGTCCTAGGCTCTGTGGTTTAACCCACAGCACCACCCACGTCCCTAAATAGGGGCGTCTTATCCATGGGGGCGTCTTATAGAGGGAAAAGTACGGTACTTTCCCACAGATATTATTTTGTTGTGTCCCTGGAATTTAAATATATAATAAAAAGCCCAAACATTCTCTATGGTAAAGATCATAAGACAATGGGGTCAGCTGTCTTTTCGAAATGGTGAGGAGAAAAGCACAAAAGGCAAAATGAACTGCTTTCACTGAGATGGGGTTTCAAATGCAGCCTGTCTAAGAATCTGTGACCACAGGCTATTTTTAACAGTTCGCAGGAAGCTCTATGGTTTATGGGAACAAAGATGCATACGCAGTGGCCCCGTAACAATTTTAACACACGAAGCCTGTCGTTTTTTTCAACAGCAAAATAACATTTTTCAAATGTCATGCTATTTCTGAAGCACTGGATTTTATTTTATTTTATTCTGGTGGCAGGGAACGGGCAAGGACAGTGTATTTTTTTAAAAAAAATATCAAATATGGCAGACTGTGAATTTTGTTTATTGATCTCTGGTTCTGTTGTTCACAGAAAGGTAAGTAGAGATCTCATTCGTTCTCCCTGTGAAAAGGTTTGGGAATGACCTTTCGTAATATTTGCTTGGCTGCCCTTTAGGGCTGTAGGACTTATGATTAAGGCAAATTATTACACAGCACTTCATAGAGTAATGTAAGCTGAAAGAAAGGCTGCAGTTCCCAAGGAGGTTACAATATAAATTTTAGATAGCTTGGGGAGGAATAGACAACAGAGAGAGGGGGAAGCAGGGCAGGCAGGCAAATTCAATGACAGCAAAACGAGGAAAAATGAGAGAAAGAGAATGAGAGAGATCAGGAGGGGATAGGTGAGTTATTAAGAGGCTCAGACAACCATGTGATTTTAGTACAGTCAGGGGGTGAAGCTCACAGAAAATCTCTGTTTATAGGAAATATATTGCTGTTGTATGTTCTTATTTATTTATTTATTAAACTGAATAGTCACTTGTAACCTGAAGGTTTCTAACTGACTTACAGCAAAGAAATCTATATACACATACATAATACCATGGCGGGGGCAGGAGGGAGATCTTATATTCCATTGATACTTTGCATAACATAACAAAAACAACAACAACACAACAGCTGTATAAATATTAGCAAACAAAACCCCACCTTTCTTTTCTCCCAACCTTATACTCTATACAACATTAAAGTTTCACAGTGAATATAACTGATCTGTAGAAAGGACTTTATGATCTGAAAAAAAATAGACCATGCATGTACTTTTGTAACCCAGGAAAATCTTTAATAAAAACAAATTAATAATAATAATAATAATAATAATAATAATAATAATAATGTTGGCTGCTGAACCAATGCAATTAAAGAATTTAAAAGGCATTGGCTACATTTTCCTTCAAAATTATAAATGCAAAATGCTTTGTATGTCAGCATCACAAAGAAATAGCAACACTCACTTAATAAGCAAAGCAATATCCACACCCACCAATTAGCATATAAGCAAAACCTCAACCCCTCGCCTTCAGTTCATATTGTTTCATTATTGACTGCAGCCCAACTGGCTGCAGCTTCTGCACCCCCCACCCCCCGCTTCCTGTCATCCTTCCTTCCTAACAAAGTGATGGCATCAAACTGGACATTGCTGAGGTTACACTTTCTACATCATATGGCTCCCATTCTGAACGTATTCATATTTCCACACATCTTTGAATCTCTTCACACAGCAGGCAGGGTTGGGAGCTTTTTCCAGGTTGGTGAACTCTAAAAGCAGTGCCCATTTTGGCCGAGCTCTGTGTCCCGCAGCAACATTGACTAGGCCAATCGAGGCCAGTTTAGAAGATCACATGCTCCTTTGGCTTAATGGGAAGTTGAGTATGGGTAGCAAGGCTATTTTGAAAGAGTCCAAAACAGAAAAGGAGAAACAGTTTGAATTATAGTGCCTGCTTGCTGCTACTTTTGGGGAACTGAAGCTTGCTGAGGATTAATCAGTTTGTTTATGCATGTCCTCAGTTCTCAGCTGCTCAGCCTGTATTCTTTCAAATAAGCAGTTATTCCAAAATTGCCACGCAGTTTTCATAATCTTTGCTCAAAAGGAAATGGACTCCATTAAGCACCTGATCACTTGGAGAGGTGAATAATGTTAAACTACGTATATAGATAAAAGGCACAGGTCTCATGCTGAAGAGCTTCTGGAATTGGACAGGGCTACTGCCTGGTATAGGGACGCGGGTGGCGCTGTGGGTTAAACCACAGAGCCTAGGACTTGCTGATCAGAAGGTCGGCAGTTCGAATCCCCGCGATGGGGTGAGCTCCTGTTGTTCGGTTCCAGCTCCTGCCAACCTAGCAGTTCGAAAGCATGTCAAAGTGCAAGTAGATAAATAGGTACCGCTCTGGCGGGAAGGTAAACGGTGTTTCCGTGCGCTGCTCTGGTTCGCCAGAAGTGGCTTAGTCATGCTGGCCACATGACCCGGAAGCTGTACGCCGGCTCCCTCGGCCAATAAAGCGAGATGAGCGCCGCAACCCCAGAGTCGGCCACAACTGGACCTAATGGTCAGGGGTCCCTTTACCTTTACTTTACTGCCTGGTATTATTGCCTGCCCCCCACACTCACCTTGAAGCCATTGCCAATTTCTCAAATTTGTGAAGTTGGGCATCTGGGTGCAATTCAGACTTCTGCAACAGGAGACTCAACCGGTTATTCTTTTCCCGATTCCTGCAAGAGAATTTGAGCCACTACATATCACCACTGCAAGAGATTTTCAAAGGCTTCCCCTTTGCTAACGCACAACGTTTCTGAAAAGCTGATCATTTCCCTCTCACATGCCATTGCACTAATGTTGATATTATTTCTCCCATGTTTGCTATAGAGAATAACAAATTTCTCACTTACACCTTTGCATACATTTACATGTTGAATCACCTGCAAAGGGTAAATGAAAGTCTTTTCATCTTTACACTCTGATTTAGCTTGTAGGTGGGGAAGGGATGTGGATTTAATTGTAGTGAGCAAAGAGAGAGGGTCAAGGTCTTCTGGTGCTATTAAAAAAACCTACTAAAACAGGGAAATGTAGCACAAATTGCAGCATTAAAACTGTTAACTACAAATTAGGTAAGAACTACAGCAGACATCTGTCTGTCACCAAAAAGAGCTCCCCCGAATTTCTCCTTCTCTCCCCTCATAATACGTAGTATTACACAGGAATGGATAGATTGATTTTATTTGTGGTCCATACCAATTTCATATGTATCCATTCATAAGTCTGTTCCATCACATTCTTGCATTAATGTGTGATTTGGCAATTTTTGTATTTAATATTTTATTACATGTTCGGTATTTAAATATGAGTGAAATCCAATTAAGTCATCAAGTAGACCCACTGAAATCAAGAGACTTTAGTCCAATGAATTCAATGGGTCTCCTACGAGTCTGTCAAGCATTGGATGACAACCTATGTGTTTTATCTCAGTGTATGCATTCCTAAACATATTGAATCCCAAAATATGAAATGTGCTACAATGTTCTGCACAATGTCTTTGCGATGTCTCTGCAACTGTATTGCAAAATTCAGAGATGTGCAAAATCCAAAGGATAATTAACACTCCAGTACATGCATTAGTTTGGGAGGTGCAAATTAGGTCAGTTCACTTAAAAATGTGGATAGAACTACATTCTCATTCATCCCTACTAAGAAAAATAAATTTGTTATGCGGTGCCATCACACTTTGAGCTCCCCTGTCCCACTCCAATTCATCGATTGCCATTTGTTGAGGTGAGGAAACTCAGAGTGTAATAGCATCATATCGGATGTTATTAGGAAGAGAGAGATTTGTGGGGCTGGAGTTTTCAACAACAGCCAGAACATCTAGTTCCAGCCTTAGCTGAGACATTAGGAAAAGCCTGTTTTAATTACCAGGTTTATTATTTGAAAACAATCAATGTAATGCAATTAAGTCTCTGTACATAATTCTCACCCTGGCAGTTCCTAATTTACAAACTCCACTAAAAATGACCCTGGAAAGTTGGAACTAAGACCTTGCCATACTCTTAGGGAGCCTTGCATGCTTGGAAAAGGCCCAGTTGTCACGCATTGTTTCTAACTGGGTTGGCAAATAAGAAGTAACATAACATAATAGCAGCAGCAAATTATATGTACACCAGTTAAAAATTGTTGTAATTAAGAAGTATATAAATCAAACGTTGACAAAGGAAAGCAACAACCCAAGCTCCCTATAACCTGAGAACTAGCTTTTTTAAGTAAACAGAAACAATATATCTATTCTTTTCCCCCCTTGGGATGCTATATGGCTTACCATTAAAGCAAAAGAGTTTAGGTATTTGTTAGCAAATTGATACGTCAACACTTGAAACTTCACAAGGGAGTGTTTTTCACCCTATTGTCAGTGTAAGTCTTGCTTTATAATTCAGGATATTATTTTTGGAGGTATTGAAGGGCTTGTGCACCATGTCTTTTGTGGTCCCTTTTCCTATGTGAGTCCTCCTCTTCTTCTCCATTGTCACCACTACAGCTTCACCTGCCCTCTTCCTCTGGGCCTAATCCATATAACAAGAGAGAGAGAGAGAGAGAGAGAGAGAGAGAGAGAGAGAAGTGATGGCTGTCACCCCTGTCACTGTCCTTGACTCTGTCACCTCCCAGATTTGGGTGCAGTTAAGCTCTACTGATTCCAGTGTCATGCAAGTCCACCCAACTGTGAACTACCAACCTCATGGCTCCCTTAAAATTTTTTTTAGAGCAGCACATAAAGTTTCCAGACTGCGCTGTGCTTCTGACACTGTAGGCTCCAGTCAATGGAAGCTTATGTCGCAATACATCTGCTAACCTTTCAGATACTAGCAGAGACTGTCATTTTTGCTGTTGCACAGCTTTGGGAATGTTCAGAGTTGTTGAGTAAAGCTTGTACCGGAATATCAAGGTCATGGTCATGGTCCCTTTTCCTTGGAGCTGCAGCCACATGCAGGAGAATATTGGAATATTCCCCTCCCCCTTGAGGGCTGTTGTCCGTGCCTTGCAACAGAAGGCAATCACCAACCACTCCTTTGTGCAGACAACAAAACATTCATCCTACAAAGGCGAACACCACAGCCTCTTACCTGCTTTTTGTGTCTGGCTTTGACTCCTCTTTATGCATGGATTTCATTATTTTATACAGCGATTTCACTCTTGAAGTAGGGTTTAGCTGAGGGGATAAAAGCAATGGATTCTCCATTTTTCTCTTGCCAGCTTCCTCTGAATATACTTCACTCTTCTCTTTTTCAGTTTTCATGTGACACCTCCTCAGTCTTGGTTTCCTATAAGCAGTTTCTCATGCGGTCTCCGTCTTGATTTGGTATTGGTTAGAGGCCCGTAGAGTTTGTGGGAGGAAGCTCCCCCCCACCAATCGGCCTAGCTTGAACATCGAGTACATCAGATCTTTCAGTGCTCTCTTCTTCAGCGGCTGTTTCTTTTTTTTCAGGCCTGATTACTAACGGGCCAACATTTTGCAAGTCATAAAGATAAACAAAGGCTTTCCCTCGGATGTAGCTTGCGGTTAGTGTATGTGGAACATGATCGACTGTCAGACGCATTTGGCATAACGTGTATTGAAACCAAACAAAGAGTCAAGGATTTTGATGAGAGAGAGAAATGTATTTCCAAGTTATTTGTGTGCCATTCTTCATTTACAAAATTCATACTGCCTTATGTGGATTGTCAGCAGTAACGAGAGTCACCTTACACAACCCTATCAAACCGATTGTTACGTAAATTCACCTTTTGCAAGTACTGCTTCTTGAAGTTGTTACGTTTGACGCTGGAATTTGCTAAGACGTACGTGGAACACAAAAGCTTCTATTTGGACATTACGTATATAAGAACTGATCTATTTGTATTTCCTGTTCTAAATGTTGGTCCTTAATTGCTTCTACTCAACTAGATAATGTGAAAAGAGTTATGCTTATATGATGTAGAAAGAATTTATATAGTTAAACACAGCCAGTTACGTTGTGGGTACCATATTTTTCACCCTACAGGATACACCGGCCCATAGGACGCACCTAGTTTTTTGGGGGGGAAATAAAGGGGGAAATATTATTTTCCCCCAGGCATGGGGCTGGGACGGGGGATGCCCGAGCTTCCCGACCCCAGCCCCCAGAACAGGCTGCTATCCGCAAGCTTAGGAGCCCGGTGGGAAGTCCCACTGGTCTCCCCCGGCTGGCGGATACCTGCCCCCCGCGCTTGTGGGGCGGGCGCGGGGGAGCCGCGCGCTTCGCCCCCGCGCCAGCCTCCAAACCAGGTCGGGGAACAGCGGGATGGCGGCGCTGTGCCTCCCCGCTGTCCCCCGAGCTTGTGGGCTGCAGGCTGCTGCCCGCAAGCCTTGCGAGCCCACGGGAACTCCCCCCCGGGCGCGCAAGGCTTGCGGACACCTGCGTGAAGCACGGGGCGTCCTCCAGAGGGTGCCCCGTGCTTCGGGCTGCAGGCTGCTGCCCGCAAGCCTTGCGAGCCTGCGGGAACTCCCAACGGGCTTGCAAGGCTTGCGGATAGCTTCCTTGAAGCCTGGAGAGCGAGAGGGGTCGGTGCGCCCCAACCCCACTCGCTCTCCAGGCTTCAGCGAAAGCCTGCATTCTCCCCATAGGACGCACACACATTTCCCCTTCATTTTTGGAGGGGAAAAAGTGCGTCCTATAGGGCGAAAAATACGGTATATTTGTAACGAGAGTCACAGCAATGCTCTAGCATCATATGCTTCCAAACCATTCGTGTTATTTGTATATAGAACTTCATAGAATCATAGTAACTTAGAGTTGGAAGGGACCCCAAGGGTTTTTTAGTCCAACCCAACAATGCAGGAATCTCAGCTAAAGCATCTATGACAGGTGACCATCCAACTTCTGATTAAATTCCTCCATGGAAGGAGAGAGTCCACAACCTCCTGAGGGAGACCGTTCTACCTTCCTCCCAAACAATGAAGGCTGGCGTGGAGAAATGTTGAGTCTGTCCATTATGCTTTGAATAAGGTTTGTGTGACCTATTGTATGTCAGAGGGCAACGATCAGAGATGGAGACCTTATGCTACTGCTCAGTAGTAACTTAAGGTTACCAGATTATTTTCAAAGAATCCGGGGACACTTTTTTTTTAAAAAAAAGAGGGAATTTTTTAAAACAAAATTATTTTTAAAAAATAAATAAAGAAGTAATATCTTCTCTTCTGTGGTCCCCTCTGTCACATTGCCTTCCTCTGGGCCTCAGCCTGTTCTCTTGGAGCGCTTGCCACCATGGAGCAGGCTCGGCTCAGGCCTGGGCTCAGCCACGTGTCCTTGCCCTCCCGGTGCTCTCCTACATCTCCTCCTTGGCGGCGGCAGCACGGCAAGGTCAGGGCTCCCCTCTTTTTTTCTCCTTCCTCTTCCTTCTCCTCTCCTCCTCACAGTGTGAGGCACTGCTAAGCCATTGGCTGGGTAGCCAGGCGCTCGATTTGGGTTGTGGGTGGGGGGGTCAGCAGTTCCCGCAGTTGATGTGCCGGGCATCCCCAGTTCCCCCTCAGCAGTGGCAGTGGTAGTGCAGTTGGCTTTGGCTGGCTTCAAGAGCTGCTCACTGATGCCCACCATTTTGCCTCACCAGAAGTCCCCATATGATGTGCCTTGTGCCGTTGAACCAATCACACAACATTCATTCCCTACTAATAAATCTGCTGAGGCGTGAATATTCACCACCAGTGTGTCAACAATATAACTTTGGTGAAGATGAAAAGGGAACTGGTGGCCATGTTAGGCAATGAGACTGCCCTGGGTAAAAGCTCTTACCAGAAAAAGGTCACACAAAAATTAGCTAATTTGTCCATGTAACCAGAAGTTAACAAATGGGCGGAGTTTAGCTGTAGGCAATTTAGGCTGAGGTGAAAGCGACATCATCTTGCGATTCCTTACAAACTGTCATCAGGCACATGCAAGACCCCCAAGTAAATATAGATAAGTGTTTCCTTTAAAATGAAATAAAAGAAATTTCATTCCTTAAATGAAATATCCCCTTAATAAATATTCTTAACAAATTATCCTGTCTCCAGCTCTGGTGTCAAAGTCACTCCAAAGCCAAGTATGCTAAGCTACTTGGAAGTTTTTAAAGCATGCTAAGGGAATAGCTGGCAGCAGAAAAGGGCGATGGTGAGGAACTCCAGATTGCAGTGGCAGGGATTCCCTAGACCCTGAAATATAAATATTGACAATGCAGAAATACTTAGACTTGTATTTATAAAAAGTGGTCCTGAGGGAACCATTTTCTTCATGACTAGATTATGCCATTTTCTACATATAGGAACCTTATGATGTTAATTAGGCTGAGGGAGCACACAACTGGCCCTCAATCGATGAGCTTCATGTCTGGTAGGGGATTGAACCTATATCCCCAGCACTATAAGCCCAGCACTCCCTTCCCTACTCCCAGCTGACATTTCCTTTTAAGACTCTGCTGCAAAGCAGGGACATCCATCAACTTGACACTCACTGCACAAGCTCCCATGTATGCCAGAGTTGCATACGCAATCCAGAACAGTGGGCTTCAGAAGCAATCCCCTTGTATAATTAGCATCTACAGTTGTTTACGATAAGTGAATAATGAGATGGGCTCGAAACTATCCAGTATACGTGCATATGTGTGAAATAGCTCTGTAAGTTCACTCTTGGTTTTCAGTCTTGGTCTCTGCATCTGTTTCACATCCTGAAACTTGAGTCTAACCACAAACACATTTAGTAATAACTTCTGCATTTTAAAGAAAAAAAGACAGCTTCCTTTTCTTTCTGAATCCCCCCCTCCTCGTTGCATGTTGTCACTTGCTGCCTGGGTATGATCTCTTCCAAACATTTCACATGAATTACTTCTTAATAAAGATAAAATGGTACTTCTCAATAAAGATAAAATTTACACAGTAGAGCTTATGTGCTCCTGCATGCTTGGTTCTGAACTCCTTCCCCTTCTTTTCTTAGCATTTTTTGTTTATTAAAATATTCCTGTCCAACATTCTCTCAGCTGCTGAGCTTCATTTCAAAATGCAAGGTTAGGATTTCTTTTCAATTGGCATATGTGACAATCAGGGTTAAAAGTCAGGGCCAGGCAGTGGCTATTACTAATTAATTGCCTTAATATCATCACCCTACAAAGCACTTTACAAAAGTAACATAAGCAATGCCTAGATCGTTGCCCCAAGTGCAGTGCGGGATTTAGGTAGAAGCTAAACAAGCTATAGCTTAGGGCCCCACTCTCTTGGGGGCCCCCCAAAAAAATTAAAGGGGGGAAAAACCTGGATGTACATTTCCAAAATATAAGATAAAAAAATAATAAAATGAAACCTACATACAGCAACAGTGTTTTGTTATCAATAAAAAATCATTTTAAGTTAGAGCTTAATAATTATTTCATTATTAATATGTTGTTGTTGTTGTTTAGTCGTTTAGTCGTGTCCGACTCTTCGTGACCCCATGGACCAGAGCACGCCAGGCACTCCTGTCTTCCACTACCTCCCGCAGTTTGGTCAAACTCATGCTGGTAGCTTCGAGAACACTATCCAACCATCACGTCCTCTGTCGTCCCCTTCTCCTTGTGCCCTCCATCTTTCCCAACATCAGGGTCTTTTCCAGGGAGTCTTCTCTTCTCATGAGGTGGCCAAAGTATTGGAGTCTCAGCTTCAGGATCTGTCCTTCCAGTGAGCACTCAGGGCTGATTTCCTTAAGAATGGATAGGTTTGATCTTCTTGCAGTCCATGGGACTCTCAAGAGTCTCCTCCAGCACCAGAATTCAAAAGCATCAATTCTTCGGCAATCAGCCTTCTTTATGGTCCAGCTCTCACTTCCATACATCACTATTTCTTCTTAATTGTATTTCATTATTAACTTCTTCTTAATTGTATTTCAGTACAACAATTACTTTGATGAAATACATATTTTGTTATGTGCAAATGGTTTTAGATACCTACTAGGTCCATAAATTACCATATAGCAGATATTGACCAATAATCAAAAACAATCAGCGACACTTTGGTGTTGACAGCAGACAGCTGGACATATAAAGGGCCGCATTATCTTCAGCAGCTGAGGGCCTCATCAAACCTAAATTCGGCCCTGCCTAAGTGTATTAGTCTTTGGCTGTGTTCAATTGGTAAAACATGAGACTCTTAATCTCAGGGGTGTGGATTCGAATCCCACATTGGGCAAAAGTTCCCTGCATTGCAGGGGGTTGGACTAGATTGCCCTCATGATATCTTCCAATTCTACGATTCTATGTTTCAGTACTCTGCAACCAGTGTCCTTCCACTGCTGGTTTGGGAAGTGGCGTTTACACAAGTCAGCCACATTATGTATCTACCATGTCCCCCTCACCCCACCCTGAAGTACTGCATTTTGTTGTGCAAACCAGCATTGATCCAAACTGAGGAAAAGAACAACCTAGCTACATTTTAAGATGGTATTGTGCACAGCCTATATGCAGGCAGTAGTGAGGGTTGCCAGAGAGACACGAGTGGAGGAAGGTAGTATACAGACAAATCATATATGAGAAATAGCATGGTATGTTTCACCCAAGGAAGGAAGAGGCAAGGATGACTAAATAGCAGAGGAAGCCCCCAAATATAGGGAAAGAGAAAGGTAAAAATGAACAAATCCCAGGGTATGGTCTGAATGTTTATGAGGCTACTGACTTGCTGAAATTTATGAGATCTGAATCTTATCAGATCTGATCAGTGGCTGCCCAGGAACCCACCTTAACCACATGTAGAAGTTCTTGGGTTCAATTCCATGTCAGGAATATAAATATATATAATATACAAATATTTATAATAGCATTATTATTTAATAGGTTTCTATACCACCCTTCTCCTGAAGATCACAGGGCACTTTACAATATAAAAACACGAAAATACATACCATAATAACAAAAACAATACCACCACCCTGTTTAAGAGGCCATAGATTGTTTAATTAGCCAAAGGACTGGTTGAAGAGGAATGTTTTCGCCTGGCACCTAAAGGTGTATAATTAAGGTACCAGGTGAACCTCCCTGGGGAGAACATTGCACAAACAGGGGGCCACTGCAGAAAAGGCCCACTCTCACGTTGCCACCCTCTGGACCTCTCATGGAGGAGGCACACAAAAAAGGACCTCAGAGGATGCTCGCAGGGTCCAGGTCAGTTCATACAGTGAAATGTAAGAAAATGAAACAAACAAATACAGCTGCACAGCATTTCTCTAGGGCTTTGCCCTAATTTAGGAGTAAATTTGCCACACCACTTTCTGTTAACTCTCCTGCACCTCCAAAGATGGCTTTGTACTGTCTGCCCTTCCCATTAGCGTCATTATTTTGTATGCTGCAGTGTCTGTTCTCCTTTCTCAGCCTCTAATTTCCTCTGAATGAAGCTAACCTAATTTCAATAACCTTTTCTAACTGTCACCCTTGAATTGTGATATCAGCTTCCCTCTTCTGATATCCTCTTATATTATTTCTAGACTTGGTGCAATCCTAAACATGTCTACTCAGACCTAATGAATTCAGCAGGGGCTTACCCTGCTAGGATTGCAGCCTAAGATGCCTTTGTACCATCTTGCTTAAATAAAGCAATGCTAGAACTAAAAATGAAGAAAGTGTTAATTCATTCCTGAACAAGCAGCACTAATAATACTTGATAGATCCAGGCAGCCTGCCTGTTTGTCTTGTTTCCTATTACTTTCTGGTTTCAAATGAGGGAAAACGTAGATTAGAAGGGCATGTTTTGTTTTGTTTTGTACACACACACACAACGTTGTTTAGGTGGTAATAGCATCTCACATGCTCATTTCTCTCAGTTGAGGAGGGAATCTTACTGATATATGACCCATAGCTAAAAATAAATAAATAAGTCACCTGTGCTTTCCCACACATGCAGAATCATTTATCAGATTTGAGATTGATTTCTTGTCAGCATTTTGGGAGTTAAGTGAGAAGTAAGTGGTGCCTCTTTAGCACTGGTGCACAGGGAGAGTATATTGTAAAACGTGTCTTATCTTCGAACCAGCCTCGCTCCCTGACAAAGGCGATACCCAATCAGCAAGCTGGGAGATGGGAGAAAATTTGGAGAGGGGGCTTCTTGTAATTACACCCACAAAGGAAAAGGCAAGCTGTTTCAACTGAAGCAGTTAAACTGGCCCTACACATAATCTTTTGAGAATAATCTGGCCGCGATTGTGAGAGGGATGGCCCCATAGGATTCTAAATCTTGCTGGATAGTAATATCCCAAACAAAACAAAATTCACCGGGAATCATTACTTACATTTTGAAAGATATGATTTTCTCTTGGACTGCAGTTTCCTGAAGATATAGTATAACCACGTAGCTACCACTATGACCTCTGACTAATAAAATGGGTCCTCAACTAATAAGATTTCTCTCTCTAACACACTATCTCCGTTGCTACCTCTCTCTCTCCTCCTCACTACCTCTCTCTCTTTCTTCTTACTCCACTCAAAGACTCACACTTTGACAAGTCCTCCGTTAAGTTATCCAGTGATGAAATGTATTACAATGGAGGGTATGATGACACCACTACTTTAGCAACCTTGCTAAACAATTTCCATTGTTCCTCTTAATACAGTAGAACCTTGGTTGTCGAATACCTGCATAGTCAAACGTTTCTGCTTTCGAACGTCGAAAACCTGAAAGTAACTGCTCCAGTTTTCGAATGATTTTCGGAAACCAAAAGTGCTACGCAGCTTCTGTTTTGAGTTTCCCTATTTTATTGAGGCTTCCGTACTGAGTTTTCTGTTTTTGAATGTTTTGGAAGTCAAACAGTCTTCCGGAATGGATTACATTCAAAAACCAAGGTTCCACTGTATTATCTTTTATAGCTTCCAATGGGTTAAACATTTTTTATTAGAAGTTTTTTAGATCACCCTTCATTGGATGGATGCCAGAGCAGTATGCAATCATAAGAATACACTGTAATACAGGCGTCAGCAAACTTTTTCAGCAGGGGGCCGGTCCACTGTCCCTCAGACTTTGTGGGGGGCCAGACTATATTTTGAAAAAAAATAATGAACGAATTCCTATGCCCAAATAACTCAGAGATTCATTTTAAATAAAAGCACACATTCTACTCATGTAAAAACACCAGGCAGGCCCCACAAATAACCTAGTGATGAATTTTAAATAAAAGGACACATTCTACTCATGTAGAAACATGCTGATTCACGGACCGTCCGCGGGCCGAATTGAGAAGGCGATTGGGCCAGATCTTGTCCCCAGGCCTTAGTTTGCTGTAATAGAACAATATGGTATCTTTCTATGGACCACAACAACAAAAGAGTGAGAAGCGACAAAAATACAAAACTATTGAATCATGCGGGGGAAACTGGCTGGAGACTTGGCTTCTTGGAGGCAAGGTTTTCAGGTTCCTTCCAGCTAAGCGATTAATCATCCCTCAGCCTTTCTCTGAAAGGAAGGAGGTGGGTGGAGAACACTTCACAAATGCTGAGATTATCATTGTCCACATCTGCAGTTTAAGCGTTGGGGGGCTAGCTGCTTTCTTTTCACCGTCACAAGAAGAGAGCATCACAACTCTCCATAGCTTTTTCTTGCATGGCAAAATGTCTCATGGGTGAAGTTACTTCATGATGCCTTTTTCTGGGTGTGGGCATGCACCTGGGAAGACAGTAAAGAGCACACTGTTGGCAGAATGATTTGTGGAATGGAAGAAAGGATGCTCACAAACACTTCTAAACGGCCTCGGTCCAGTATACCTGAAGGAGTGTCTCCACCTCCATCGTTCTGCCCGGACACTGAGGTCCAGTGCCGAGGGCCTTCTGGCAGTTCCCTCATTGCAAGAAGTGAGGTTACAGGGAACCAGATAGAGGGCCTTCTCAGAAGTGGCACCCGCCCTGTGGAACGCCCTCCCACCAGATGTCAAAGAGAAAAATAACTACCAAACTTTTAGAAGACATCTAAAGGCAGCCCTGCTTAGGGAAGCTTTTAATGTTTAATAGGTTATTGTATTTTAGTGTTTTGTTGGAAGCCGCCCAGAGTGGCTGGGGAAACCCAGCCAGATGGGCGGGGTATAAATAATAATAAGTTGTTATTATTATTATTATTATTATTATTATTATTATTTATTGTTCTCTGCCACCTCAGAAGTAAGGTAAATGCAACAAACTCTCTGCACTCCTCTCAAACACATAAATTTTCTCTCTGGTACTTTTGAAACACAGCATCTTGTCTTGTGAATCAATTGAAAATGGTAAAAAAACAACGAGGGGGGGGGAGAATGCAGGATAAGCTTTTGCCATAACAACTTGCAAGCAAATGTCACAGCAGATAAATGCACGTTTCCCCTCCCTTTATTCACATGCCTGCCCTACTTATCACCATATTTATGAGCAGCAGAAATGTGCAGATATTTTTATTCACATCTGAGTATGCCAGCTACTTTCCTTTACGCTGGGTGTTGGCAACCTACAGCCCATGGGCCAGAAGCGGCCCACGGAGGCCATTTAACCAGCCCATGAGACCACTCCAGAACCGAGCTGCCCACTCGGCGAGCCCCAGCACCGCGCCGCTAACCGGCACGGTGCATGGACTCGCTTCCGTGGCATCCAAAATTGTGTCTGCACATGTGCAGACACGGGTTGTGCTGTGGGTTAAACCACAGAGCCTAGGACTTGCTGATCAGAAGGTCACGGTTCGAATCCCCGCGATGGGGTGAGCTCCCATTGCTCAGTCCCTGCTCCTGCCAACCTAGCAGTTCAAAAGCACCTCAAAGTGCAAGTAGATAAATAGGTACCGCTCCAGCAGGAAGGTAAACGGTGTTTCCGTGCGCTGCTCTGGTTTGCCAGAAGTGGCTTAGTCCTGCTGGCCACATGACCTGGAAGCTGTACGCCGGCTCCCTCAGCCAATAAAGTGAGATTATTCAGGGGTCCCTTTACCTTTACCTTATGCCTTCAAACTGAGGGCTTATCCATGCTTACATTTCCTCTGCTTTTCCCAAGCAGTCTGTATTTTAAAGCTCCATGTCTGAGCACCCTTCCCCCCACCCGTTGCTCCAGAGTTTCCCCAGAAAACTTGTTCTTTGAAGCTGAATTGTAGCAAACGTCAATCTGCAAAGAACCCAAAGTGACATTTGCTGCAGTTCAGCTCTAAAGAGGAGGTTTCATGGGGAAAGTTTGGGGCAAAAAAACCCAAAACAGCTGCTT